CATACATTTCTTGTCATCTTCTGTATCTGGGTCATGCTTACCTATTACAACAACCCCACCTAGGGGGACAATTAAGCCAATTTGAACTGTAAAAGCTCGAGAGCTCTACTTGAAACTCCATACCTTGAAGTTTGGCTTGAGCTCAATAAAGTTTCACGTTTAAAGCTTGATTCAAAATAAAAATTGATTTGCTCAAATTTGTTCAATTAATCTTGTTTATCTAGTAAAAGATAAGTTTAATATGATGCTTTGACTTCAAACTCGGTTATTTATACTTAAGCTCGAGTTAGAATTTAGATTTTTCAATATTCATTAGAATAGTATAATATTGAATTAGAAAAGCTTGGTTAGGCTTGCAAGCTATTTGAGTCTAGCATTAGGATGCTTGAATTCAACTGGCTCAGTGGCTCGAGCTTTTTATTAGACTATGACTGAGCCATATTATATTTTTTCTTATAAGCCTAATTTGAATACCTTGTAAGTGCAAGTGTCTCATTTACCCTCGTTAGCCTCGGCTCCTCTATAATTCCAGTCCCCTTCTTACCTTGTCATTTCTTGGCGTGACAATTATTTAAGTCTAATGTTAACTGCTGTGAATAAATATCACAGGTCAACCCCTAATTTTATGCATTTAGGTGGATTACTATGCTATTGACACAAGAATTCAATTTTGTGGATAGCCTTCATATCTGGGACACACTTTTAAGAGATCCGGAAAGTCCTCCGGTATGATTGGAATTATAATGCCCCATCCCCCTTTTGCTCTAACCTTATTAGCATGATAAATGGTTTTAGTCGTGTTTGAAATTTGATCAAATGTTATCTAGTTGATTTCAATCCAAATTGTACCAAATTTTTCTATTGGATTATTCTTTTATCCATTTATTTGGCGTTGAATTAAAGCTCCATTGATCAAATATGCATTATTAATGAAGCTCCATTGATCAAATACTTACATTAATTCTTGCAATGTTAATGCCCCCTCCCCCCTTTTACCCTAACCTTATTTGCAATTTGGATTGAAATCAGCTAGATAACATTTGATCAAATTTCAAACACGACTAGAACCATTTATCATGCTAATAAGGTTAGAGCAAAAGGGGGAGGGGCATTAAAATTGCAAGAATTAATGCAATAATTAATGCAACTATCATATGGACTTGAAGTAGGATGCTATTCTAAACAAATTAATGCAAGTATTGTTAGCAATACTGAAAACTGTGAATTCGTGTCGTGATAATGTATATAATTTATATGGGAAGTTTTACTAATTAAATGTGCAAAATTTATTTTTACATATGCTTCAAAGAATGCATATGTAAAATTGGTCATTTTAGTACTCTTTGATAGTTATATACTTCATTTTAAATAAGTATAAATTATATACTTATTTCATATTTTTTACTTAGGTTAGCGATGGGAATGAAGAATACACGAATGATGATATTCACAAAGAATGGGTATCTTATGTGGCAAACTTTATTATGCCGTGATATTTTGTATCGACATATGATTACAATATTTTTGATAACTTAATGTTAATAAATTGTATGCAAATGGATTGATTATATATAATATGATATATATATTTAGTATTATGAGGCATTAAATGTGATTTAGTTTGATTATTTGTCAATCTACATATATATATATATATTATATATATATATATATATATATATATATATATATATAATTTACGACATACAATCACGACACACGAATGTGTGTCATCTTTTTTAATGACGTGTGCTTCAATGACACGCAATGTAAGTCGTAAATGTATGCCATAAATGCGTGTCATAACTTTATGACACACAAATGTGTCATTTTCATTTATGACGGGGGCTTCAATGACACGCAATGCACGTCGTAAATGTCTGTTATAAATGTGTGTCATAGATTTATGACACACAATTGCGTGTTATCTGAGATTTATGATGGTGGCTTCAATGAAACGCATTTATGTGTCATCTGCACCCATAGATGACGCGCAATACGTGTCAGTAAAGAGGTTTTTTCTAGTAGTGATATTGTTTTCTTAATTTATGAATTTCTGCTATGACTATTTGGATTGATTTTTATTATAGTTATTTTTTGTTGTAAAATTCCAATATAATAAAATCAACATATTTTTACATATAAAGAGAAAAAGGAAACCATCAAGGTAGTTTTTTTAGCTAAATAAAAAAATTAAGTTAGGTTGGTAATAAAAAAGATGATGATGAGAACATTGATGTCATTAGGGTCATCTATTAGATATTTTTTTATTTTCAATAATATAAATCAAGTTAGGTTGGATCAGAGTTGGGTTTATATTTTATTTCCGAATTCGTTTTGATTTAGATTAAATAATATTAAAATTGATGTCGGGTTATGATTTTATTATGTCAGGTTAAACTTGGAGTAGACACAAATATGATCTAACTCGACCCGTTGTCATCTCTACTTTGAGTCCAGCTCATCAAGGTGTGTCCCATGTGTTTAAACATATGTATCTTTTGTATCCTTCGTGGATCTTTAGAGTCGAATGACCCTATCTTATAACGACAACAATATGTCCCTCAAGCGTTCCCTCTTTTGCTTAATATCACGGGTCTCCATACACTAGCATGCTAGAACTTTACTTATTTGATATGCCATCAGAAATTAGTTTTACTCGTAAACTTGGCTATGATATCAGTTTTTTACTGGACTAGAGTCAGACCTAACAAATCGTGCTTCCTTAAACACTGAAGCATGAGTTTAGCGTCTAAGTTAGCATTCAACCTAAATAAATACGACCTAAAACTTACTTAGGCGACGTGAAAAAGACACAACATATTAAAAGGGGGAAGTAGAATATGAGAAGACTTGTAATGAAAATGACGAGAAGAGAGAGATTGGAGTCAACGCTCGCCTTTTTTTATTCTCCCATAAAATCTATCTTGATAATTGAGGTGAAGAGAGCCTCTATTTATACTTGAATCATGTTACAACTGATTGTGTCCTAATTAGACATAAACCCATTTATTCTATCGACTACAGCTAAAAACCCTATCCACGTGGCAAAGTCCTAATACATTAGTGACCATTGGAGTAGTTTACCCTTCTATTTACTTGTGATTTGTGAATTGGGTCCTTCAAAGACGAGTTTTTTTTATGGCAATAAGCACAATTCAACTTTAAGTGGGCTTATTGGTTTCGATGCGTTTCACAAAATTCCTCAGCGCTTAAGTTTGCATGAATCTCAGACCTTGATTCGTGGCTCATTTCATATGTAATGCCTTCGTCCTTTTCGGCCACGCATGTCAAAGATGTGTCTAGTTGGAAATGTCTTTGCTAATGCACCACCAGCTAGATGCAACTTCGACTTACATGACCAAAAAGATTTCATTCCTCTAAATAATTTCTTTTTGGGTACTATTCTGATAACTTATTTTATAATGGATATTATTTCCATAAATTAGCCCTTAAATTAATTGGTTAATCCCAAACTCCGAATTTAGCTCGCATCCATTGGAGACAAATAAAATAATAGTAAATTAACGAATCATGTTTACCAATTCCACCAAGTTGCTTGCTTTTGCGTGTGTTAGCAAAGGTTTCATATTGGTCGAAGCCTTTTCCCTCCTTTAAAGGCCGCATTCCATGATGCTCACTTTGTAACAACAAGAGAATCCCAGTTGAAGGTCAAGTGAGCTGAACCTCACCACTCACCACCCTTTATATCCTTCTCTCTTTTTTTTGGTTTTTATTAATACTGTTCCACAGTAGACCCATACCTACCAGTATCACCTACATACTACTTTCTAACAACTTGCATATCAGATCAACATTAACCCTTCAGAACCTGCAGTGTTTATAATCTCGAGATTACTTGATTCTTGTTTTATTTTATGTTCAAATCTTTTGAAGAAAATCATATTATAGTCAGGAACTGCAAATCTGGTGGATTTTGTCCGTTGTTTCCTCAATCCATGTTCATGTTGCTTTTATTTTATGTAAGTTGGGAGCCGTCCTTTGTCTAGCCTCAAGGGGAAGAAATTCATGGCAACAAACAGAATCCCCATGTGCCTTATAAATATAAGTCCAAAACCTAATTTTATAATTCAATCATTAATGTTTACCTATATGTAATATTTGTATATTTATTTATCCAAAAAATATATATATTTGTATATTTATTCTGTTTTTAACGTCGGCTTGTGGCGGCCGACTTCAACTGTGTGCAGGTTCAGCATGTGACACTGCCACTGCCTCAGCACGTACCCCACTTCCCCAATCACATGGTACCCAAATAATAGTAAGTAGTACATCTCTCAACAACAAATATAGATCTCAAGTCTTATAATTTTCTCTTATACACTATAATAGTATATTTAATTTAATATGAATTAATCTAATCAAATATTATGAAAATTTATTATAAAAAAATCTTTATTCTATTTATAATATCAAATTTTAAATCTTTAATTTGGTTTAAAAAATTTAGTGGTTTATCCTACTAAATTAATTAGTTGTTTTTAGATCTCAATCATTTTTTTTTCAAATAATCTAATGTGATTATAATGAAGTATCTATTCATAGTATTTTTTATCCATAGAGTACGTCCATAAACATAATTACTTAAATCTAAGTCCTCTAAATAAAATAATACTCTTTTGAATCATCAATACCTTTATGAATTCACTATATCTCAATCTTACAATTTATTAATAAGAATATATTTTTATAGATGGTATCTGCATTAGATTATACATGGACTTCCTATTCAACCAATAAAAATAGCCACCCTTTACTGCTTTCAGAATGAGAAGTAAAAACAAGGAGCATTGGAGAATGGGAGAATGGGAAAATGGGAAAGATAAGAAAAAAATTAAAAAGAAAAAGGTCGGTGACACGTGGATAGCCTTACCCAGTTCCACTGTTTCCCCACTTGATACTCCACCTGTGTGTTTTCAACTATATATACATATACTCTTCGTCGGCCTCTGCCCCCATCTTATTCTAAATCCAAAAATTATCAACTTTTTCATATTTCTTCTTTGCTCCCTCTTCCTTATTCAATGGCTACTCTTCAGGTTTCCCTAGTGTTAGCCACCTTCTTCCTTCAACTCTTCTCAGGTCATTAATAAACTCACTGTTTATTTATAGTAACCATTTACGCATTAACCAATCAATCTATCATTCTTGATGTTTGGTGTGTTTTACAGGTGCTCATTCATCAACCTTTACTATAGAAAACAAATGCAGCTATACGGTTTGGCCTGGGGTGTTATCAGGTGCCAGAACCCCTCCGATTTCACCTACAGGTTTCGTTCTTCAACCAGGGCAGTCAACATCCATCTCTTTTCCAACATCCTGGTCGGGTCGGATATGGGGTCGAACCCTTTGCACCCAAGATTCTTTCGGAAAGTTCTCTTGCCTTACAGGAGACTGCGGCTCGTCGACACTCGAATGTTCAGGCGGTGGTGCCATCCCTCCCGCCTCGCTGGCGGAGTTTACGCTCAATGGTGCAGGTGGATTGGATTTCTATGATGTTAGCCTTGTTGACGGGTACAATCTTCCAATGATGATATCCCCAAGGGGTGGAACCGGAGGTAACTGTACCTCGGCGGGATGTGCGGCGGATTTGAACGGTGACTGTCCTGTGGAGCTTAAGGTTGTGGATGGGAGTGATGGGGTTGCATGTAAGAGTGCGTGCGATGCGTTTAGGGATCCCCAATATTGCTGCAGCGGAGCTTATGCTACTCCGAATACTTGCAAGCCTAGCTCTTACTCCCAATTCTTCAAGACTGCGTGTCCTACGGCTTATAGCTACGCCTATGATGATGGAACCAGTACCTTCACTTGTGCTGGAGCTGATTACGATATCACTTTCTGCCCTTCCCCTTCCACCAGGTAAAAATGCTTATTCGATCCTCATCGAGATCGAGGATTTCAATTGCAGTTGCATTCATCGAAGTTATAAACATAAAAACATTATTACTGTCATATAACGATCATTATTCTAATAAGAATCGTTGTTCAAATCAATATATAGAATCTATAGCATTAGCAATTTACCAATTTCTTTATTTCAAAGGTTTTAGTTCCAAAGTCGGTTTGGGAGTCACATGGGGACCGGTCCCCAGATATGGCTTGCACGTTCTTTTTTTAATGTTATTTTTAATCTTCACGTCATCACGTATGTTTCAAGTCTTAAAAATCAGCACCGTCCCATGGTGCAACTGCTGGACACCAGTTGTATACACGCAACTTATTTTAAAACTTTGTTGGTTGGATTTGCAGGCGCTGACACTTCGATTTGTGTGTGTTTGTAGTGTGAAATCGTCCAATCCCATGGCGGTTGACATCTCATCAGCCGATCCCCATCCCGCATCATCAGCTCTCATTGGCGGTGCCATCGCCACTCTGGCAGCAATATGGCGGTTGTGGCATCTCTTCTGAGAATAATGCCATCCATGCATTTTCCGCGTTTTCCCTTTCATATGACAAATTTTGTCATCTGAAACATGAGCAATTTGCAGGCGACAATCCGAACATCCAATGATATCACCGCCCTGCAATTTCCCTCAACTTGAAGGAACTAAGAGTTTTTTTTCTCTGTTGAAGGAAAGAGAGCTGGCAAATTAAGGGCATATTCTCGATTGATTTAGTGTAGGAACAGACAATTATTAGTTGGCTACGTACATTTTTTTAGCAACTGTCGCCTACTTCTAATTATGTTAACGGTGATGAGTTCATTTGTCACTAATTGTTTATAATGAAGTGCATTTTCCTTTGCCCATGTTTCCTATGCCTGATGACAATTACTTAAATGTTTTTTTTTAGTTTAAGGCGTGGGTTTGGCAGTCACCGCCCTTAATTATTTTACCAATCATGATTATTAAATAATTGGATTACATCTTATATGTTCCAAGGGTAAGTTTTTTATTCATCACTCAACTTCCTTTTTACTCTTATTTTAGTCGTTCAAATTTAAAATTTTTTAATTTAATAATTATACTTTTAAATTACTCTTATTTTGTTCACGTTAAATCTATTAAAACCATTATGACATGGCACGTTATAATCTCTTACGTCTTTGCTCTGCGCATTAATTTCATAAAATATTTAATAATTAAACTTTTCAATTACTCTTGTTTTGATCACTGCACCGTCAAATTCACTAATAACATTATGATATGGCACATTATATTATTTTGTCTTTGCTCTGCGCATTAATTTCACAAAATACTTTCCATTAGAATGGAACGTCGCTACTTTCCGTTAAATAATCTCTTTTATCTTCTCTTCTTGCTCCTCTTCTCGGTCATTGCTTTTAGGGTTAGCAACGAAATCGAGAAAACCGAAAAATCGATACGAATCGAGTAAAATGATTCGTTTCGGTTCGGTTTGGCTTTAAACGGTTCGGTTTTCGGTTCAGTTTAAAAGCTTTATTTTTTTGATTCGGTTCGGTTCGGGTTTTCCATATGGAACTCATTTGTTCCATATTAAACCGAATAGGCAATTTTTGTAAAAACAATTATAGTTTCAAGTGATTTTTTCATTGAAAAACCGAACCGAACCGAAAAACCTAAACCGTTAAAAAAACCGAACCGAACCGATAAAACCGGTTTCGATTTTTTCTATTTTTTAACTATTCAGTTTCGGTTTCGATTTAAATATTGAAAAATCGTTTATTTCGGTTCGATTCAATTTTTAGTAAAAAATCGAACCGAACCGAACCGAATACACCCCTAATTGCTTTCGTCATCGTTGCAGAGGTTGTCAGTAACGATGATCCTCTGATTCGTCAAGTGGTATCCAACAGAATTGTCGAGGAAGACTTTTATGACCAACTCCTCAACGTCGAGCACCATTTCACGGTGTTCAAGTCCAAATTCGAGAAGACTGGCGCTACAAAGGAGGAACACGACTACCGATTGGGAGTCTTCAAGGCTAAGTTTTGCCGCTCCAAGTGTCATAAGCTCCTGGAACCCACTACGATCCATGGGATCATGAATTTCTTCGATTTAACTCCATCGGAGTTTCGTCGTAAGCTCCTCAGCTTCAAATCACTCAAACTCCCAACCGATAATCAAATAGCTCATATTTTTCCTCTCTGTTTTGAAAACCGGACCGGACCGGCTGGTTCAATCGGGAACCATTGCTTAGTCCGGTTCAATCTAAACCGGTTGAACCGCTATTAGTGAACCGGCCAGAATCGCTGAACCGTTCGAACCGGACCGGAAAAAACCGGGAAAAATCGGGATTTTTGTTTTTTTTTTTAAAAAAAATTAGACCAAACAACGTCGTTTGTTAAACGAGCCAAATCGAACTCGAGTATTGCTGAGCTCGACTCGAACTTGAAAACTTTAAAAGTAAGCTCAACTCAACTCAAATTCACAAGCTAAAAATTATCAAGTTCAACTCAAACTCGAAATATAATATTGAAACTTGAACTCAAAAAGGCTTGAACTCAAAAAAAAATTAGAAGCTCGATTGAAGCCTAAAATTCGAGCTTGATTGAAGTGAAAGAATAGTTCACTCAATGCTCACCAAAAGACTCTATGATTTTGAATGCCAAATTACCTATATTATTTATAGAAGTTAGTTGTGATGCGCTTCTATGTTTCTTAGCAATGTGAGATTGTTTTGTTCTCATATTTTTATTCTTTAGACTTTTGGGATGCTCTTCTAAGTTTCTTAGCCATGTGGGATTGTTTTTTAAAAAAAAAATTAAACCAAACAATATCATTTTGTTATGATTTTTTTAACCCCAATTTTTTTTAATTATAGTTATATAATTATATTTATTATTTAATATGTTTTACCTTAAATATTATGTTGTAGTTAATTTGAATCATTTTGTTTCACTTGATTTTATGGTTTTTAACTTATATATGTTATAACTTGCTTTGAATATGATTTGTGATATAAAAAATTATTTTTTATTAAATATTTTTGGTATTTTTATTTAATTTTTTAAATAATTATGACGTCGTCCGGTTCTTTCGACCGATCAGACCGGTTCGACCGGTTCGACCGATTGAACCAATGAACCGGTAGCATGACCGGTTCGCTAACCGATCCGATTCTGAAAACCATGTTTTTCCTAAAAAAAATTTGCTTGTTGACTTTGACTGCGCGGCCACGGCACGCTTACCAGCATTAAAGATTAAGTAATAAAATTTAAGAGTTTAGTGTATTAGTTAAAAATAAAAAATTTTCCCCACTTTGAGAAAATAACTTTAGTGACCGAAAATGTCTTATAATATACGATTTTAACTATTATTTTTTTGATTTGCCAAAATGACCAACAAATTCGCAACGCGATCTCAAATTCGCAACGCGAACTCCAATTTTGCAACGTGAATATGTAAATCGTAACACATAAGTCAAATTCGCAACGCGATAGTCAAATGCACAACACAAAAGTCAAATTCGCAGCACAAAAGTTAAATTTGCAACGCGGAATTTCAAATTCGCAACTGAATTTCAAATTCGTAACTAGATTTTCGAATTCGCAACACGAATTTAATTTCGCAACAGGGTTTTAGTTTCGCAACACAAATGTTTTGGGTATATAACAACGCAGCAGCAACAACTCATAACCTAAATCCCTAAATCGCAACTCATTCCATCTCCATCTATCACTCTCTCCGGCGACATCCGTTCCTATATCCAACGACATCCTTCCCCATCTCAAATTTTTTTTTACATAATTTTATTTCTATATAATTTTTCAATGATTTCTCTCCCAAATTATCAACTATCAACTTAATAAAGGTATGTTTTTCTCTAAGTTAGTGATGATATCTAGTTTATAGCTCATTTGTTTAGTAAATTAATTTACAATTTGTATAATGAAATCATCTAATGTTGATCATGTTTGGATAAATTTGTGTTTTGGAGGGTCATGGGAGAATGTTCATGGTGTTTTACAATAAGTGCCTTTACCTATGAATCTTCAACTAAAAATGTCATTAAAAAATTAACTTATGAAACTCTAATGTTACATGTTGCAAAGAAATTGAATTTAGAGCCTCTAAGTGGATTTAGGTTTATCTTATCAGAGAAAATGTAAAGTTTATTTGTTAACCGACAATAAAGATGTTGAACGATTCATTGCTTACATTAGTGTTTCGCAAGAAGATGATGTTACATTGTATGTTATTGAACCTAGAAGTAGTGAAGTTGGGTCAGTAGCGGGTAGTAATCAACTAAGTTCTTCAACCCCAGTTTATGGTGCTCCCAATGTACAACGTTGTTATCAACCTCAAAATTTAATGGTTCCACCACAATTTCATCACCAAGAAAATTTTGTTTCACCACATTTCCAATACCAAACATAATCTCAAAACCCACAACTTTTTCCTAATTCAAATCCCAATCAACTTTCAGCGTCAAATTCCTGTTTTCGTATTGACCAGTTAGACAATTATGAGCCAACAGAAAAAATTGTGACTACTAGTCAGTATTCGAAATTTGATCTTGGTCAATACCCGGACTTTGACCTTGTTCAATACTCGGATTTTGATGATGTGATGGAAGAAGAAACATACCCTGCATATAATGATTTTGATATTGGTCAATACCCGAATTTTGATGATGAAACATTCGTTGCCGAGGAAGATGTTGTTGATGATAATGAGGAGGAAGTTATGACTGCGAATGAACATATTGAACATCCATTATGTAATTCATATAACCCTGAAGAAGAAAAAGAAGAAGTCCCCGAAGAAAATAAAAAAAAGAAAATGCCACGGGAGTATAACTGGAATATGCCAGAATTACTTTAGATACCAGAAGAAGAGTTGGTAAAGATAGCAGTTGATTGTTACACAAAAGTTATTCGTATCAAGAAAGATGATTGTTTTGATACAAATGAAGACTTGAAGATAGCTTTGTATACGAAATGTGTGAAAGATGACTATCAACTAAAAGTTAACAAATCAAGCAAAGATCGTTTCGAAACAATGTGTATGATTGACAAAAACTGTACGTGGTGTATGATTGCAAAGAGGATAAAAGATTGCGAAATGTTTCAAGTTAGGACTTTTATTGATAAACATACATGTTCAAGAACCCAAGTTTTTCCTCACCATAGACAGGAAACAAAAAGGTGTTGGGTGGTTTTCTGGCTGAGTTAATGTTTTTGAATGGAAGGGTATATCGGGGACATGAAATTATGACTGACATGAATGCTCGGTTCAAGATTAGTATCTCATATTCTCAAGCTTGGAGAGCCAAATGTTATGCCTTGGAATTATTGAGGGGGTCACCAGAAGCATCGTTTGCCCAACTGTCGGCTTATTGTAACAATTTAAAGCTAAAAAATTCTGGGTCGGTAACTCATATCAAAACAGATAGAGATGGACGCTTTGAATTGTTGTTTATCGCCATTGGTTCTGCGGTTAGTAAATAATTATAATTTTATTGACTCATTTTTGTTAGTTGCATGCATTTCACATTTAAATGATTTTGTAGATTCGTTCGTTTATTACTTGCATGCGC